TGGAGCCGCGACACTTAAATTGGTCAACCTAGTGAAACGCCTGGAGCCTTGTCAAGATATAAGGCATACAGGTTTACTGTAAGAATTCGTATCTGTATGTCCTGGTCGTTAACCCTCGCCAGTTAACCCATCTCACAGAAGGGGAATGTGAGGCGTTCATTCAGCATTGGTTTTTGCGGTTAGTGTTTCTGCTTTATCGGTCGGTCTTCTGACCGGTTGAGCCGTAGACAGTTAACTAGTTCGCTATCCTCATTGTGATACCACGACCATGATTTTTGTCGAAGGAAGTGTTTCTGTAGGTTCGTTTCTGTCGGTTTCCGTTCATTTAGTTCTCCAGACGGGATCTGACGCAGATGATGTCTTGTTGTGACGTAGTAAACAGTGTTGTGCGGAATACAGCTAGTTGGCGGCCTATTATCATCAGCCATTGCCAGTACAGCATAACTGAAATGCTGCTTGAAAGCAACAGCAGAACACCAATGTTGTTTGTCAGAAGGTGCATCATACGGATGATTGCACACACTGCATCTGCTCCGTTATTCTTTGGAACGTTAAGTTTCATAATCAGAACAGTTTCATAATAAATTTGAGTTACTGTGCTATTTAGGCTTTTTTAGCCTCAGGCAACGTGACACAACAGCAACAAGTATCAGAGATTTCACAGTTGCACGCCATCTCGTCAGATCACTAGCACATGTACGTGGATACCGCGTTCAGCATTATCGTTTGACCCTCGTTGAGACTGTAATCTCGAGTCTTCGCGGAAACATATTTCTAAGGACGTTCCACACCTGGCAACATGATGAGACTGGTTCGGATATCATCAGCGTACCAGCGAGAACATGGATCTTTCGTCGCACATCTGTTATTTCTCACCGGCATTGTTCTTTAATGGATCCCCAATCCTAGGAAGCCCGTGTTAGACGGTTTCCATGTTGAACGTTGTCCGTAAGGTAGCAAACAGTCAGACAAGAATCGTATTGTTTTATTAATGTTGCGAGTGCACACTTGTAAACAGAGTGAGGTCGTAAATTTGAACTTGAAGTGACGGAACAGAAAATGAGAACTTCGTGAACTAACATGTAAACATTTTAACAAAACTATTTGACTTGGAGCATGGTGAAAGATCTCTCTAACCGTTCGTTACAGACTTTAAGCCACGGAACCGTTTGCGTATAAATTTCTGGAAAGCAGCAGCACCTGCAATGTTTTATGTTCAGTAATGTCATCATGAGTTAAGTCCTGTTGGTTCGAAAATACTTGATAACGCATTTCATCCAGTTCATCATGAATAAGCAGTTTTGGTTTCGATCAGACATCGGCTTATGGCAAAGCATGTCTCACAAAGACCCTCACACAGTGCGCCCATTACTTGAGTAGTGTTATGTGATCGTGCGTGTAGATGGAAACTGTCTATGTTAGTAGTTCATGGTAATATTTGGGGTCACATGAGCTTATGGAAGTAAATATGGTAGAACTGCACTGACTACGTTGTGCGATCGGCTAGTGTCACCCTTCGGCTAAGCACATCTAGTGATCTCACGATCTCATCCTCATTCGCCTAAATGTTGATAGCCTGATCTTTTGCTTGATGTACTAATAGTGGTTGAATATCTCTTTTTCCAACGTTGGCTGGTGGTCAAACTTAGGGTTATATCTCCATTCGTTTTGCAGTTGAATTAAGGACCCAACCAGGAGTTTTGACACCTTTTTCAAATGAGCTATGCTGTCACAAGGAGTCTCTCTGCTTCGCGATAGAGAAGTTATGAAGCAATGCCAGTAAGCCTTCGTACCTCGTCTTAGTCAACATCATGTCCAATTCATGACATGCACAATGTAGTCCTTTTTGTTGCGCTATCTCAGCACTTTCTGAGATATTGAAAGGGTGGAGGTGCCATGGGGAATATCAAATGTTAACCAGTTTCTGAAAGTACTTGACTCTCACTAGAAAACGTACCATTTTGTGGAAATGACCATGTAAGTGCAAGTTTCGCACCCGATGAAACTGGTGTAACTATTACTGACGGCTTGAAGGCCTGTGTCAACAAATGGCCAACTATATTTCGAAGCATTTCGACTTTTGTTGAGTCCACAGTTCTGTTTTATCACCATCTGTGAAGGACACTGATTTCCATAGTTGAAGATTTCCGTGATCACCAGGTGTGAACCACTTCCTTCATTCTTGAGCAGTACTGAGCTCAGTGTATACCCGCTTTGCGGCTTGATGAGCAAAAGGTAGAAAAAGCATGAAGGACCATCTGTGAAGCACGAGATATGCCTAATTGTTCGGATATTCAGATGACTTAGCTGAACTCAGTTTTTTTCGTTTCTGCTATATGATAGAGTATAGTACGTTGCCATGTCAGGTTGGTGTGTTATAAGGATTATGTTTGATGCCGATGTTTTCACGCTCTTCACCGCGATTTGTGCGTTCTGTTTTCGGATGCGTGAAGCATGCCCACCACACGATCATCTTGTCTGACGTCTGTAAGCACCAGGATATGGACATTTTCGTAGCGATGCCGTATGCACTGCTAGAAGAAAGAGGAAGAGAAGAAGAACGAAGGAACTAAGAACAAAAACCAGAAACAGAAGATGAAGAAATTTACTCGCTTGGGCAAAACCGTTCTGTACCAGCGTACACCAGACTGTCAGTTTCGATGACCGCTTATCCTTACAGGTTGCTGAGGTAGACGGGTCAGACAGAGTCTCCAATCTTCCCGATTCTGTGCCAGTGTTTGAACTTCGGCAGAAAATAACCGGAGTCTGTAGCAGAGTCCTTCGATACACTTACCCTACCTTATTGTTGGCTGTCCTGAAGGTTTGTACCGATTGGTTGAGCAGTTAGTAGCTGTTTCACTTTTCTTTCTGAAAACATTCGCAAGAGATGCCAAAACCATCGCAACTGTGACTTCTCAAACTAAAGTAGCAGTGGCTGTGCACTAAGAATATCAGATATTTGTAATCCCGAACATGTCGAGATCTTCAGCACAGGTTTTTCGCAGAAAACCCACTTCAGCCGCTTGTGCTCAGTTCGAAGTTTTCTTTCATGGTCGATGACTCACGACCACAGGCGAGTATAGGGGTGAAGATATCTTGAAATATTTCCATCACTGCGCGTGCTGTCCGTGCGGAGTCAAGAAAAGTTTTTAACTGTTGGAATGTCGGTATTCTTTACATTTGCAGATGGGGCCGTTTCTGGCGCCCTTCTTTTAATGAAGTTAATGGTAGGGTGCTGATCTCGTTTACGATACCATCAGCCAGGGGTGACAGCAGTTGTGTCAGGCATAGCTTGTAGTTTTCTGTTTCCCTACCACAGAGTGAACTCATTTATGTCAAGGAAAAAACACGTGACCTGACCGGTGCTCTAACCCCAGAACTCTCGGTTTCTGAATCCGACGCTCTACCAACCCAACACAACATGACGGCCTACTTGACTTTTGCTTCTTAATCGAGTTGATTTGTTTCAGAAAAGTTGGAAGCACAACGACAACGACGCGGGCAAGAAGCAGCGCAAGTAGCGGTGGTATGTGGAGATTTTATACCGACGATTCACCTGGAATCAAAATGTGAGTAGCAACGGCAGGCTTGTTTTGTTTCATCTTAAATCTAATTTTAGAGGACCCGTGCCAGTACTTGTCATGAGCCTTGTTTTTATTGCCTCAGTATTTATGCTACACATCTGGGGCAAATACTCTCGATACCATTGAGCTATTGAGGTTATCAATACAAATCTATGTC